AGCTGGAAGGTTCAACGCCGGTTCTGTGGAGCGAAACATGTCTTCATGGGATCTTCGAACTTATCAGGGGACCGCAGAAAAATAAGAAGTGGGCCCTTTTAGTACGGAAATGAACTATTTCAGGGAAGTCCTCTGACTGGTTAGTATGCTCCTCCGGAATTAGCTGAGGTTAGTATTATGTACTATTTCTTCGTACTGTGGATGGACGAAATCCTGCAGCACCCAAGAAACCCTGGAATGATGGTTCCCCTGCAAACACAAACAACAAATGGTTTCAGCCATGGTTTCTTTAACAAATCCATGCAGTGCCCTGAGCAATCGGCCAATGACGAGTTTGACGTTATTTCGAAAGGTTCAGACATGGCAGGGCTCACGTCCGGCCTTCAGCCGAGCTTGCATGGCATTCTTGCCCTGCTCTTGGGCAGCTCGGCGGGGATTCTCCTTCTCAGGCTCGGGCTTCGCGAAGAAGTCGTCAAACCAAGCGTCCTCGTTCTCCTTGTTCTCTTCTTTCACCTTCGTTTCTTTCACCTCTTTCCTCGGTTGAACCCCCGCAAAAGGTGTGGTGCAGCGCAGCTGGGTAGGGCAGTTTGTGTTCAGTTGAAGGCTTTAAAGGTGGGACCGAAGCAAAGCCAGCTGGTCCATATTCAGATCCCCTGCAAGACGTTTGACCTTTAAATTCGGACACCCAACCACTAAACCAACTCAAAAAAGCCCCAAGCTACGGAACCGGACCAAAGCCAAGCCAAGTTTCACCTCCGCCGCACTCTCCGCTGGCTTTGCCTTGAGATCGCTTCTCTCGGCTCGCAAGGCCTCGCTACTCGGCTCCGCCGCAGCCGCAGCCGCCGGCGCCGGCGGCGCAGCCGCAGCCGCAGCCGCCCCGGCGCCCTGAGGGCGAGCGTGGCTGGGTGTCACTTCAGCTTCCGAAGCGTGAATGAGACGGCAGACCCCGAAAGAAGAAGCAGCCAGCACTTAAGAGGGACCGAAAGAGGAGAAATGTCACCATTCCTTCTCCCACCTCTGGAAGAAACTTACTGACTCGACTGACATGGATCAGGGCCGCGCGCCGCCCAAGCGCGCGTCCGAACCCTAGATCCCAGGCTTCGAAGGACAGCTCCAAGTGTTGGAACCCTTCCGTGACTCACCCTGCTGCCACTTCAGGGATCCGGATGCATGAAAAACACCGATCGAACATTGCAACTTGTAAGTGGTGGTTTCCCTTTACTTTATTTTGGTGTTGAAAAGGCAACATGCTTCAAATGGTTGCAACATGTAGTTTTTAAGGAGCCCTGCTCAATGAACCAAGAGGTCATCCTCCTTTTATCCCTGAGACATTTGCAGAATCACCGAGCCCGAACACGGTGGCCTGCGGAAGGGGAATCTTCATCGGTGAAGCAAAAAACAAAAAAAGGCCAGCCAACGCCTTGTTAGACCGTCACCTTTGGGCCCTCCAGGTGGATGTGTCAGACATCCCTTAGGTATCACCCCAAAAAGGGATCTAACTCCATGAAACAGAACGCCCAAATGACGAAACCAAACCGGGATTGCGGAATGCCCAGTTCGAAATCAAAACACGTCCATGTGAATAATGCAGTTCTTGGCGCGCGCGCACACACGCGCGCGCATTTCGTCATTCATACAAGAAACGAAGCTTTAGTTGGGATTCAGACCACTTTTGGAGGGAAGCCACCTGGGGGACAGGCGTATTGATCCGTGGTCCTTAGTTGCTTCTTTGGTCCGACCCAAAAAAGCCCTCGCTCGAGGTTTCGGGGGGCGCCCATCTAACTGTGGCTCCCTCGATTTCCTGACCTAACGCGGGAGTTCTGGAAACACGAAATTCTGCAGAGGATCCAAGTACTAAGCGTCCGTTTTTCTTCCCAAAAGCCATGAGGTGCCAAACTCTCAGCTTAGGTTGAAATCCTGCTTGACTGTATCCCAGTTGTCTGCTGCCACTTGTTTCCGAAGGGATTCCCTTTAGATTCCGTCTGGACCTCCGGAACCCTGCCTGAATGCAGATGTCAAACCAGCCCTTTTCGCCGATTTCTGGGCGTATGGCGTATGGACCAAATCCAGAGCTCTAGGGCTCGTTCCCCATTCTTTCCAACCATCGTTCATTTCTGGCACCAGGCGTTTGCCCAAGGTTTTCTAGAAGCATCCCTGGAAATAATGGACATGGAAGCCACCGCTCTCTCAGCGAAAACGGGCACAACATCACCGGCCAAGCTGATTTCGCCCGGGCGCCGGCGGCTTCCGTGGACCCTTCAGCGCCACGTTGCTGGGCAGGCACTGCAGCGGGCCGTCGAGGCCTAGGGAGCCCAGCGGCGTGGCGCTGTCGCCGCCCAGAAACTTGCCGCGCAGGAAGAGCCGGGCGGAGCCTCGGGAAGCAACTACTTCCAGGTCCTCCAGTGGAGAGGTTGGAATAATGGTGCCCACCTTTTTTTGTGTAATCGATTTTAGTAGTAAAAGGGCACTACTGCAGGACCTAGATTACTTGCCCGACAGAAACTCCCCGGACCAGGACCCAACGCAAAGCCCAATAAAAATCCCCTGCAATGGGGAACCGCGATCAATTCCTGAACTATTGCTATGGGACGAAACCATACACAGTTCACCTGAGTTTCTCAGTATTTCATCCCTTCATTTGGGGTTTGGGGTCACTGGGCGCTTTCGTCTCCAAACAGGGGTCATTTGTTTAATTGTGCTACATCCACAAAGATTCCTTGAGCAGGTATTGATCCTGTACTTGTGCTCTTTGTTTCCATGACAGGAATCGGGCTCCGATCATGATACCAATCTGCAAATTCGCAACCAAAGAAAACGTCCGGGCAGCCAATCAAGCTGCCAATTCAAGGACGAAGAACGAGGGTGTTTTTTCCCTTCACATGTCCAAGAAGTTGTAATCGTTTTCTGGCCAATGATCTGAGCAGGTCAGTTGTCCATTGTGGTAGGTTGGCTGCCTTTCCGCCTCGACCACAAAATTACCCTGACCCTTCCTTGAGCACCTCCACGACCTGTTTCAAACATGTCCAAAACTCCACAATTTCGTCTCCATCATAAGAACCTATGACAATTCCACAAAACAACCATGTCCTGGTCAGCTAGGCTGAAGATTGCACGTGCACCATACACTCGCTACTACTGTCAACGTCAAGGAGCATGGCCAAGTTGCCACCAGCCAGCCAGCTGTTTGCCAGCATGGACAAACACAGCTTCAATGGTGATTACACAAACACTGTCAGCATATCTAGCACCAATGCATGGTGTCTCCCTTCTCTTCTTCCTCTTCCGAGTCTGGACTGGGTCCCCAAAGCCAGCTTCAGCCCCAAATCGACATGCCAACCTTGCGATGTCCCTTTGACAACCGCCAAAGTAGGTGTGTCTGTTCCGAAGGCACCCACGTGTTTTTTATTGTTTTTGTGGAGGCCAACATGTTTGCTTCTTGTTTTTCTTTTTTTTTGGGGGGTCCCCCCAAAACAAGCAGATCAAGTTGCGGGGCGAGCTGTATTCTGAACCGTTTGCACACCAGCTCCAACCCGGCAAAACCCTTCGTCTATGGAATTCTTCTGCCCCTGCGTGCATCCCCGTCTCGAAAAAAGGACACACAAATCTCACTTGAGCCGACTTGTGGACTGGCCAAAAACGCTGAACTTTTGAGCTACCGCCAAAATGGTGTATTCACCACTGGAACGGTTGGTTTACCCCTCAAAGGGTCCATGGCCCGTTTCCGTGCGAAACCTCTTTTCGTGTTCTACGAACGCCTCCGCACACGCTCGCCGCATTGCGGAGGTCGCCCAGTGTGGCGCTGCCAGGCAGCCACAGCTCCTACGTGCCGGTCAACCTAGGGGTCAAGCCCTAGGTTGTACTGGATGCCACGTGGGTGTGTGTTTTTTTGGTAGGATCCTTTGGCATCGTTTGCTAATCACTTGTGAGGTGGCTCCTTATTAGACTTTATAGCCATTTTGATCATGCAGCCCAGAAACAGAATGCTGGTCTTTTTGACTAATTGGTTTAATGATGGCTTCTATTCCCAAGGTAGTTGCTTGAGATTCCCTTATGCCTGGCTCTATTTCTGAGGTTATTCTTTTCACCCCGTAGAGGCAGGCGACTTTTCCGAGTGACCGGTGAAAACCGAGTGGCGTAGGGTTGGTTTCCTGGGGTCCGCGGTGGCATTTTTGCACCTGGAAAATATTATTGGCCAAATGGAAGCTTTCCTTATATACCCCTTAAAACTCCAAGCCCTGGGGAAGTTAATCTTTTACAGACATATAGCCCATGTTACCCAACAAGTTGAAAAGTTGTGTTTTTAAGAGGTAAGTTTCTAGTGGCTACCTGTCTAGGTCCTCTAGTAGAGAGGTTAGAATAAGGGTACCCAATTCTTTTCTGTAGTCTATTTCAGCGGGGGAACCCTCCCAACCAAAAAAGTTGGTGAGCAAGGGCTCCATCCTGGGGGGCCTAGACACTACTGAAAGAACGACCTCCTTTCGTTGCCCTGGAGCTCGAGAATCTATCGCTTCTTGTTCAAAGGTATGCAACCCTCCCACAGAAATCCCCAGCCCGAGAAGCGCTCCTGGAGCCGCGGCTCCGACGCCTGCAGCTCAGGATCTGTGGGCACCAGCAGCTGGATGTGGAAGGACTCCGCTTCCAAAGCGGTCACCTCCGTCCATCCCAAAACCGCTTGGGCGTCCTTTTGGCAGCCCGTCAACCCCAAAAGGTGGGGTTTAGGGTTTAGGGTTTAGGGTTTAGGGAAACCCGTATTATTTTCCACATCCAGATAGGTTCCACCTATCCGGATCTCCCTCCAATCACGTATCCCAATCACGTGATTTTCGGGTGGAATCCTTGAGCCATCGGGATCGGATAAAAAAAGCTCCGCCCTTCCGGCGGACATCAAGGAACCGTTTGGTGCTACCGGAGGAAGCCAAAGCGACCTCTCTTGAACCCAACTGAACATACCATCCACGAAGGTGGAACCGGACTTGGGGCGCCTGGAAGACCAACTTTCTTTAGGACGGAGTGTTAGTGGGCCGGAGGAATCTTGTTGATTCTGGCCAATATTGAAATGAACGTCTGGGTGTGGCTCACAATTACACAGGAGGGGCAAACCGCAGGTTTCGGGACCCATGTTTCCGCTTACCAGGATTCCATTGTGCCAGTTTTTTGAGCCACAGCCGTCTATCATTCCAAAAGAGATTCAAGAAAGCCCCGGATCAACCCCTGCGGGGCGGGAAGGAGCTCCTCAGTTTGGGTTGCCAGGGCACCCAATTGACAAGGGACACGTTCGGCAAAGCACACTGCTAATACCAATCAAGAAAAAAGGAACCCCCACGAAGTGTGCAAATGCGCAGTTTTCTGCACACGTTTCGCCATAGGCAATCTGACCGGGCTTCCCTTTGTCAGTACGCTTTGAGGGCGGATTCGGAACATTTGGCAAGGCCTGGGAAGGCCGATTTCAGCTTTTGGACTGGAGCCTGAGGGCTTGGTGGCCAGCAATTCCCTTCCCGTTCGAGTGCTCGGAAAAAGCTTCCCCGGATCTGCTTATGAAAACCTTTCTTACAAAAAAAAAAGGAATTCTCGATGCAAGCCGGTCAGAATTGTCGCCCGAGGTTAAGTTACTCGATGGCGAGCCAACGGTTAAGGATCTCGCGGTCAGCAACATTTGAAAAGACAAAACACTTCACCAGGAATATTCAACCACATCGTAACTCACAACCCAAAAAACGAACAAAGGACCAAGAAACCAAAGGCTACCGGAAATATGTGTTTGCAACCTCGGCTCGAAAAACGGGTGGCCGGGCCGGCCAAACAAGTCTCCAAAAACTGCGTTGCGCTGCTTGAATTTGGCATGGCCCCTCGCCCGCGCGGCGTTTCCAAAGACAGCACTTGGTTGCAAAAGCAGCCAGCTGGGTGAAGTTTAGCGCCCGGATGGACGCTATTTCTCAAACCCCATGCGAGTTCGAAAACAGGCCAGCAACCAACCAGGTGGCATCGGTTTGTCTTACGCTACGGGACCCCAAAAGACTTGTGGAGTGTGCCTTTTCCCCTTGAACTGAAGCCAACCAACAAGAGTTCGCGAAAGAAAACCACCCAACTCTCACCTCTCAGCAAACGGTTCGCCAAGATAATCCCAAAAAGCAAAGCTGAAAACAAGCTCCAGGATCCCAGCCGAGATTGCGCCATAGATGCCTTTTGCAATCTGAGAGGGTCGCAGCTAGGGAACCCAAACCCCGCGAACTTGTCGGTTGCAGCCAACACAAAAAATGGGTGTTCCTCAAAAACCCATGTTTTTTTCAGTGGGATGCTGCGTGTTTTGTTACTTATATCTATTTATTTACGGGGTTTGGGGCTCCTCAGGTACCAATTGGAAGATCACCAAACCTGGTTGCCAGGTCATTTGACTCCGCCTCCTGGCCGATGGAGGGGAGATCCTGGATCACCTGGCATGTGGAAAACCTCCTGGTTGTTGGGGCAACCTCTCAAAGGGAGTTTCCTCTTATGGTGTTGGAATTTGGGAGTTCCATGTGAACCTGGGGGAGCTTTCAGGTGGTGTTTCCTCCACTTCTCTTCTTTCTCACACATGTGGTCTTGTTTCAGGTGGCTTTTTTCGGGACAAACTCCTTCTTGACACCACGCTCACTCGCTCGTACATGTTTTTTTTTTGTTTTTTTTCCCCGTTTTTTTGCGTTTTCAAGGCGATACATGTTGATGAGTCTCGGGCTCGTTGGTGGACATCGTTTAGCTGGGGACTTGTGTTTCACTTCCGAGTTGGCTCCCGAATAAAAATCATACCTTTTTGCGGATTATCCCAAAGTGTTTCCACTCCCCCAAACCCAGAAAACTTGAACAGCTCCCCATCTGCAATCTACAAGAATTCAAAACCCTGAAGTACAAATTGGGTTCGATCCAAACGAAAAGCAGCTTTGTCTTGATGGCTATGTAGCCCAAAAGCTGAACTCTTGCTGTCAACAACATCATGTTCCGATAGATTGTATAGGTGAGAACCTTTTTTGAGAGTGTAAATTTCAGAAGGGGCCGCCATGGTCACCACTTTTGGGGTTGATTCTTGGGAAACTTGAAACCAAGACCACCCATGTTGGCGGACCGATTCCTATGTTGACGCACCATATCTTGACCATCTGGGGTACTTACACAGAAAACTCACTATGTCCTGTCTCTATCCATGTTTTGTCTACTCAACATATAAAAAATGTTTGCAGGAGACCCCAAACATGGGTGTCTCTTTTCTTAATTTGACCTGACCATTTTTCAACAACAAAAACACAATCAAACAATCAAACACTGTGGCTTTCTGGCTGGTTTCCCTTTTAAAAATTACCAAAAAGAGGTTGGACGGGTTTGCGCAACTGCTTGGTCTGTTCCACGTCCGCCCGTCCGCCCGCCCGTCCTGCAGCAGCGCGTTGCAGCGCTCCTTGAGCTCCTCCGAAGGCGCCGCCTGCAGCAGCGGGAAGTTCACCTGCGATGGACGCGATGGCATGATGGGCGCATTGGTTTGTTTATGATATTTACTATTCTGATGATTTCTATTATCATTATTATCATTATTATCACTGCGATTATTTTTCATCATTACTATTATCATTACGAAAGCTGCCCACCAACCAGCCAACCAGACAGCCAGCCAGCCAGCCAACCGGCCAGCCAGCCAGCCAGCCAGCAAGGCAACCAACCAGCCAAGCAAAGCAAAGCAAAGCAAAGCAAGAAAAGCAAGCAAGCAAGCAAGCAAGCTAACCAACCCACCAACCCACCCAGCTACCAGAAGATTGGAACATGTCTGGGGACAAGTGCATGTTCTTGGGTCAACTGGCATGAAGATTTGGGCGGGTCAAGAAGTCGAGGCAAGAAATTGGACACGGTCTATTTGTGTCATTTATATGGTGTATTATTATTTTATGATTCTTGTGTTGTTTGTTTGGGAAAAGCCCAGTGGTGCCGGGTTCGGCTTTTTGCCAAACGCCCAGACAGAGTCCGTTGGGGCACACCCCAAAAGTTGCCCAAAGTGCGGGGCGTTGGTGCCCCAACTGAGTTGGGTTGAAACCTTTTCGTTTGGAAGAAGCGGGGCTCAGTTTTCTGCGGGCACTGAAATCACTTTCTGGGGTGCGTTCCCCTTCACGTACAGGCAACTCATTTTCCGCATGGACAAGGCTCCAAGAGAGGTTTCCTTATTCAATCCACTACCTGGACCCAAAGGAAGATGGATCTTTACCCTTGATATAGCTATAGTTGTTTCATATCCCGTTTTCCCCTGTTGGCTTGGTAGTGCGCAAACCGCTAGAGGGCTTTTCGGGAGGGCGGCAGTTGTTTGGGATGCAAAAGGGTCACTCCAAACGAAGATTGAACCCAAATGGGGTTGTCTCAACAGGGGACCCCCCAAAAACGGTTGTTCCTTTTGGTTTCCCTCAAAACAACCCAAAAAAAAGGTTCCGGGGAAAACACACACACACACACCAAACAAAAAAACGACAACAACGACCGGCAGGGGTCGGCTCATTTCGGGCTGGGAAGGGCCATGGCATTCCCTGAATATGAGCGAGCGGCAAGACAGGTCTTGCTAGGTTCTCCAGTAGAGGGGTTAGAATAAGGGCACCCGATTTTTTCTAGTCTATTTTAGTAGGGGAACCCTCCCCCATAAAAGGGGTAAAAGGGCACTGGGGGACCTGGCCTAAGGCCACGTTGGGTGATGTTTTCGAGTGGGAACCTTTCTCGTTTTCGGCCGTTTCACTGTCTCGTTCCGGAAGATTTCTGACACCTGTCTTTGGGGTTTCGCCAAACCAAACCGAAGACATATCTCTAGATGAGAGAGAGTCACAATCAAAACCCGCTATTAAAATGGTCTACCCAGAACCATGGTTCAAGAATTAAGAAGGCGGATATTCGTTGCTATTTGTGGCAAGGGGATTGTCCCTTACTAATCTTCACTGACCCGGGCTTTGACTGTGCCTCATATCTGGGCTGCCCTCAGATCCCCTGCTAAACGTTTAACTTTTAGTGGGTGAAATTCGGAAATCCAACCACTAAAAGGATCCAAAAAGCTAAGGAACCGGATAGGTGGGACATCGAACGCAAAACCGAATCCCAGGCCCACTTTGGCGGTCCAGCCCTAAAAAGACGCGCCCAGAAACGTTATCCCGAGTTTAAGCCCTCTGGAAAAGATATGACATGTTCAGTAGTAATAAATAGCCTTCAATACCATTTTTTTTTTAAAAAAAAAAATGTATTTTTAACTTTGCAACCCTTGGTATGGTAGCAACAAACTTCTGATTTTTGTTGCAGGCCCGGTGGTAAAAATGAACAGAACAAGAAAAACAACTAGAACAACCCGCCCCCCCCCCCCCCCAAAAAAAAAAAAAAAAACAAAAGAATGAACAAAACAAACTAAAACTGAACTAGAACAACAACTGGAACCACCCGCCAACAACTCTAGAGCTTGATTCCCATTCTTTTCGACCATTGTTCTTTCAAACACGGGCTGTTTCCCCTGGGTTTTTGATTGGTTTCCTGAAAAGATTCGGATCCCTGGAAAGAATGGCGAAGGTACCCCTAGAATAGCGAGTGCAAAAACACCTCAAGCCATTTGGTGGCTTCGCTGTGACATAGAAGGTACCCCATGTTTGGTCCTTTTTGAGTGGTTGAAGAGGTGAACCTCTTCATCTGTGGGTCCAAACCGGTCAACTGAGTGGTTTAGATTGAGAAGCTACCCCCATGGGAAGAGCTGCCCCGGTCATCGGGTCGCCTGCATGGCCACCAGAGACACCGCGCTGGCCGGGTCCACGGCGCCCGCGGCGCAGAGGAGCTCCGAGCCCTGCTCCAGGAATCGCCGGAAGATCCGCTCTGCCTGGCGACATGTTTCCGTGTTTTAATTATTATTATTATGATTACTATTATTATTACAATTAGTGTGCTATCATTATTATAATTATATATTGTTATTACTATTATTATTATTACAACTATTAGTGCTATTGTTATTAATATTACAATAGGTATTATTATTATTATTTTATTATTATCATAAATAATATTATTATAATAATTATTATTAGTTTGTTATTATTATTACTATCATTATTATTATAATTATAATTATAATAATTATTATTATTAAGTATTATTATGATTATTATTATTACTATTGTTATTATTAGTATTATTAGTATTAGTATTATTATTATCACTATATTATTATTACTATGACTATTATTGTTATTATACGTATAATAATAATTATATATACTAATAATAATTACTATTATTATTATTATTATTAATATTATTATTATTATAATTATTATTATAATAATACTAATTATTACTCTAATAATTATTATTATTATTATTGTTATTATTGTTATTATTATTATTATCATTGTTATAATTGTTATTATTATAATTATTATTATCATAATTGTTATTATTATTATAATTATTATGTTTTTTTCTGGTGTTTTTTTTTTCTCCGGGGGTTTTAGGACTGAGGAGACTTCTGGGGGCCAGGGCAAATCAATTTTGACTGTTGTTATTGTTGTGTTTTTTGGGCTTGTTGTTTTTATGTTTCATTATTGCTTCAAAAAACAATACGGTTGTTGGAAACTGCTTTGCTTTTGGGACCTTTCCTGGGGATTCGGAAGCCAGGGTGAAGTCGAGGTCTTGTAAACCTCCTCTAGCCTGGAAAGTACCATTCAAACCAGAGGGATGTTAAAAGCTACAACCACGTTATGTACCCCCCGCTGCCTCTACTCACTTTTTTAGGGGGTGTAATGTCAAACGATGTCAGCTTCTGACAAAAAAGAGGTATTTGCCGTGGAAAAGCTGGTCCTTCAAATGTTCTGAAAGTTGAACCACTCTGTATTGCACTTAGATTGCTGAGCCAGCCTCGCATGATTCGGCAACTTGGATTTTGATAGGAACTTGTGGGTACCCCGCCCTTCGCGTCGCCAAAACTCACAAAACAGCAACAACAGTAGTACGTAACCACCGCGAGCGGTGCTCACTTTTCGTTTGACCGTCGCCTTAAAGGGATGCTTTTGGGAAAGTCAGATGTTCATATTGTTTGTGGCATATGGGTCATGTTGATCTGGACCCCTGATGAAAATTCGGAATTGTCCACCAACCACGGACGGTGTGACTTTCAGCTTGGGTTCGTTTCTAATGCCATAAACTGTGTCAAATTGTCCGTCCTCAAGCCATCCTCTTTGCGGGGGGGCATCCTTTTGCAATCCAAACAGGCGCTCGCAGACTCACTGGAGTCCCCATGTTCTTTGGTCATGTTGTCCTTTGAAACGACGCCCTTCAAGTTGGCCTACCCAACAGGTTGGTTGTAACACCCAGAGGTTAGCTTAACAAATAAAACTCAGCGCTTGCCTTAGACACAATGCACTTCAGAGCCAAGAGAGCCTTTGCAACCTAACTAGTGACAAGCCAAGCACCATGAAAACCGACACCCCATCCAAATCAACCAGGGGTCTCTTCAAACTGGGTGTGGCTCCAAAATAGGGCCCCACAATAGCTTTGCCATGGTAGATGGCAAAGCCGACGAAACCTGCCGTCCTCTAACTCTTAAACCATTGAGCCACACCCAATTTTGTGCTCCTATCCCCCAAAATAAATCAACCCATGCGGAGTTTAGGGCCCTCAATGATACACCCCGTGCAAATCAACCAGGGTTTTATTCATGTTGGGTTCCCATCTCTCTAGGAAAACCTTCCCCGTTCTTTCCAAGGATCCTGCTTTCTAGAAAACCTCCAGAGTCCCAGGTAAAACGGCTCCGGTTTTTGAAAAGAAGGATCGCCTTCTTGGGGTCGTTGTCCTTCAGCTTGCTCACCTCCGTCACCGCGAAGCGGTCCAAGAACTTCCGCAGCTGGTGCATGGCGTCCCCGCTGCTCACCGTCTGGCTCCTCAGCTGGCAAGGTGAGAAGTTCATAGGCACGTCGTGGAACTAAACCTGAGTCACAATCAAAACCTGGTACTAAACTGGTCTACCCACCATGCTTCAAGAATTAAGAAGGCGGATATCCGCAGCTATGTATGGTTGGGATTGTCCCTTGCTAATGTGTGGCTGTGATAGTGCATGCATGCATGTGTGTGCGCGTGTCTGTGTGTCTGTCCGTCCGTCCGTCCGTCCGTCCGTCCGTCCGTCCGTCCGTCCGTCCGTCTGCCTGCCTGCCTGCCTGCTGCCTGTCTGTCTGTCTGTCTGCATGAATGAATGAATGAATGAACGAACGAACGAATTAAGAAGTAACTAATTGATTAACTATATAGTAAATGAATGTATGTAAGAATGTATCAATGTATAAATGTATGAATATATGAATGTTTGAATGTATGAGTGTATGAATGTATGAATGCATAAATGCATGTGTTGGTGACGCCCATAATTTAGGGAGTGTTGACAATTGTTGGTTCCTGCGCCCCACAATCTATAGGGGTTTGTTAAGGGATCTGTTATGTTGACAACCCCTGCTTGACTTTGATCGCCTGTTGCACGCAGTCTCTGGGTATGTGTCAAAACAAGGGGTGCAAACTGGTGCTTGAATTTTTGGATTCCCTTTCAACCACCTGCAAAGGGTACCAACTCCAAAATTGCACTCCCAGACCTGGAAAAACCTCTCAGATCCAGTGCTTTGCCTCTATGGTGAGTGATCTTCTTCGCTCGCGTCTCCTTTAAGATCTTTCAGGATGGACCCCTCCAAGCTCGTGGTTTCCTTTTGGTTTCCCGGATTTTTGGAACCCCCCTCAGACAAGAATACATACATCGTGCAGCCCCAAAAAACCGACCCTCCTAACCCCTCCCATCTTTTGGCCTTTAGGCCGCCCTTTCGCCTGCTGCCCCCCGGTCTCCTTTCGATCTCCTTGGCCAACTGCGTGGCGCGGATCCACATCTCCCCCAGCTGGCGGTGCAGCTTCCGCCGGGCCGCCTCGAACTTCCCCCGGTGGAAGTCTTCCGACTTGGCCACCTCGCGTGTTGAACTCGGCGCTGTCCATACTTCAGCTTAGGTTGCCACTACGGAACCCAATATTGTCGAAACTAGATTTTGAGTTGTCTCGGTTAACATGTGTTTTAAGAGTTACAACATGTTACAACAGTCAGCGCAGGTGACTGATCAGTGCTCAGATTGCTCGGGTCTTGTTGCACTTTGCCGCGCTTGAGTGTCGCGCTTTGATATATTCTTCAAGGCGTAGTGCGGGGTTTTACGGCGTGTAGTGCTTCGTGGCTTGAGGTGCGCTTTGTTGTGTACAATGCTGCGCGCTGTCGTGCTGTGTGGTGTTTGGAAGCGGCGTGTGGTGCATTGTGCTGTGCCGCGGCCTCTTGATGTCCGGTATGCGTGTTGCGGCGTCTTGATAATTGCGGTCTTCTTGCTTTGCTTTGTCTATGTTTGTGCCCGTGGTAGTTTTGTTGTATGTCATCTTGGTTGGTGAGTCTCCGTGTTGCTTTGTTTGCTTTGCCTCGTTGCGTTTTGCTGCTTTGCGGCATCCCGAGGTAGTGCATTCTCCCGCAGGCCCGTGGGCCCGTGGAGCCCGTGGAGCCTGCGGGCCCCATGTTCGTGGGCCCGTGCGAGCTCGTTCCACGTGGCCATCACCTAGGTCCTCCAGTAGAGAGTGTAGAATAAGGGCACCCGATTGCTTTTTCTGTAGTCTATTTTAGTAGGAACCCTCCCCCAACAAAAGGGTAAAAGGGGACTACTGGGCGGACTTAGTCACGCAGGTTTGTGTCGGTTGTTTGTTTGCTCGCTGGTAGATTTGTTTACGCGCCTCTAGTTTGATCGTTTCGTTCTTCGAACGCGTGTGGGTGTTCCATTATTGTCTTGCTCGTTTGCTTGTTTGGTTGCTTGTTTGTGTGGTTGGTGTTGTTTGTTTGTTTGTTTGTTTGTTTGTTCGTTCGTGCGTTCGTTCGATTGTTTGTTTGCTTTTGTTTGTTTGTGTGCTGGTTTGGTTTTGTTTGTTGGGTTGCTTGGTTGTTTGCTTGTCTGTTTGGTTGTTTGTCTGTGTGTTTGTGTGTGTGTGTGTTTGTTGTTGTGTTTGTTTGGCTTGGCTGTTTGTTTATTTGCTTGTTAGTTAGTTTGTTTGTGTGCTTGTTGCTCTGCTTGTTGCTTTGCCTTGTTGTGGTTGGTTGGATGCTACGTTCTTGATTTGATATGTGTGTTGCGGTCTGCTTTCATGTCTTTCTGTCCTTCTTCGTTTATTGTTTTCTTCTTTGCTTTTGTTTTGTTGTTGTGTGTTCTTCTTGGTTTGTCTGTTCCTCTGAATCTGTGTTGTGTTGGTTGCTTTTGTTCTTCAGTGTTTCTTTGTCGGTTCGTGTCGTTCTTTGTTTCTGTTTGCTGTTTTTGCGCGTGTGTGGTCGTGTTGGTGGTTGTGTTGGGGATTGTGTGTTTGAGGGGAGCCCGGTGACGGCAATGTTGCTACGCTTTATCAACAAAGACCCAGTTTAGGTGTGTATCTCTGTCAGATCCGTTTGCGTTCTCAGTCGCTGCCTTTGTTTGCGCGTGCTTGATCGTGCATGAGCAACTTGCTGCTTCTGCCGACCGCTGCTGAGGCCACTGCTGGAGCTGTGGCTTGGTTGGATTGTGAAGACACATTCACAGATCAACCGGTTTTCTAACCAGCTGCCCCCACTGGCAAAAAATCCCCATGCGACCAACATGCCCTTGGTGCGGGAACTTCAAAAAGCCGTTGGGACCCGGGTAGAAGGCTCGAAGGGGCCATTGTGCCTGCTGAGGTGTCCCGGAGGGGTGGCGCATGTTGGGTCAGCAAGGGAAACCTCAGCAGGCTCCTGAAGCAACTTCTACCCCCACCCAGGGACCCAGCTTGAACAATACACCTGCACCATAGCTCATGCGAAATCTGGGGCCTTGCTCTGAAAGGGAACACTGCTTTTTGGGTGTGGCTCAGAAATAGGGGTCCAAAATGGAACCCTGGTAAATGGAAAGGTAGACCAAAACCTGCGTAACCCCAGCTGTTCAATTGTGAGCCCACCCGTATCTCAAAAAAAAAAATATCGCCCGCCTCTGCCTCTTCCTCATCTCTCTGACGCTTCTTCTTTTTCCGTTTCGGGAACATCTTCCGGAATTCCTCGTCGGCGTCCCAGCTGTCTTCTGAGAACTCTTCCTCCTCCTCCTCCTCCTGCTCCTCCTTGTCCCCTTCGGCCTTGTCTTTGTCCTTGTCTTTGGACTGGTCCTGCACCAAGCACAATGTCTTCAAGTCTGGAGCCCTCCAAACGACAGCGGTTTTCCGCTTTGTCTCAACCGAGACAAGCTCCGAAGCGAGCGTGCAACACATTGCCACAGGGTAAACACCTTGGGACCGAACGCACCGGTGATATTTTGCAAACATAGATGGGCTTCGCTGGTAAACGGGGCATCAAACCAATTAAAAAGCAGTGACTAGGTATGTCTAACAAAACTAACCCAAAAAGGACACCTATGATGCTTGCTCCATGGCTTACGTTCCTTCAATCTGTTCCTCAGTTGTTCAGTGACCATGGAGGAAAAAGGAAACCCTTTTTGGGGAAGACCATTTTTGGTGGGGCAGCCACCCAAGAAAAGGAAAATAATCGGTGCCACTGAACAAATGAGGTTCAGAAGAACTTCCCACGAAACTTCGACGAGCTTCCAGCCGAGAACTGCCAGCCTTGCCCTCGAGCTCGTGGGATTTCGGCTCCACCAGCAGGTCCCGCATCTCCTGTGAACCCACAGCGCTGAAAAGCTACTTGAGTCACAATCAAACCAGGTATTTTGAGATGGTCTACCCAGAACCATGCTTCAAGAATTCAGAAGGCGGATATCCGCAGCTATTTATGGCAAGGGGATTATCCCATACTAACCTTCATCTACCCGGGTTTGATTGTGGCTCACTTGACTTTGGCCTCCAAATGGGAAAGGTGTATCAGTTAGAGATAGCCTCTCCCGTCCGCGTTGTCCTACCCCCCTCCCCACACTTTCAAGCGCCTTTTAAATACACCTATCAAATCACCCCATTTTCAACCCCCAAATTGAAACACCTACTAAGTTAATCATGAGAAAAATCAGTATTCTCATCATCAACTTCATTTTTTAGTCCAATTCACCACCATCAACCTGAACAACTTTATTTCTTCTCAAAGCTGGATTATACAAAGGCATTGTCATTTTGAGTTCTTGTATCCTCTCTTGACCTTCTTGAAAATATTTGTCCTTGAATTCTTGTGTAGGTGCTTCTTCAACTAATCTCTGATAATCTGCTTTCAAGTGTTTGAGCATATTATCTTGGTGGCAACCTCCAACCAAATGGAAATCCCAAATCTCTGGGTTCACTCTTCTTTCACAAACATGACAATACAAATATCCATTATTCGCTGTCCTCTCTCGCTTCTTCGCTCTACATTTATTACATGTCTTGAACCCGTTAAATTCAGTAATTGGTTTATTGACTCTACAACTGCTACACTCTGAATTCTCCATACTATGTTATGAATACATTTCCTTAAATGATCTTTCAAGATTACATACCTAAAACATGAATAAACCCAACCTTGTTCATCCAAATAACACATTGTCAATTATCACTCCCCGAAAAATGGTTAACCAATGGAAAAGGGAGAATTAAAACCGTTAACCCAAATCTTGAAAATAATCTGTGTGTCATTGGATGGCAAAATGCGGATGGGAAAGGCCTATGTAGGAAAGCACCACCACGGCTTATACGGGAAACCTATACTATAATTACAACATATAAGATCTTACATGTTATAAGTATAGCAAAACTATGGTATCAAAGGCTTTAATCTATGTATTTCCATGGGTTGTATTCGTTTCTTCTGTTCCTTCCTTAACTCTTTTGTTGCTTTTACTTTGTCTCTGCATTCCTTACATGTTTTGTAAAATATATCTTCCATTTTAATTCTATCATACATTTTGTGAAAATCCTTTCTTGGCTTTGCTTCGTCGCATTTACTGCAATGATAAACCATTGTGCATCCTGTTTCTTCTTCGTCATCTGTAGAACTCATAATATTAGTTATACCAATATGTCTTTAAACGGATTTTCAGAGAAAAATGTTTTCAATCAAGAATAAATCCCTGTATCTTCATCATAGTCAATTTGATAAAATGTCATAGTTGAAGCCTTCGGTTCTTTAATTTCTTTGTTATTAAGTTTGTTTAAATAAATGTTTCTTTTATTTTTATATTCACCATTGGTTCGATCTACTTCCTTACTTTGATAATTGTTTGTTAATGGTTTCTTCTTTTCCATTTCGTGTAAGATTTCTAAAATATGTTTATTCTGTTCCAAAACCTTATTCAGTTTTTTAACAATCTTTTCTAATCCTTCATCCATGTAAATATATATATTATATTATAAAATAAAACTTTTAAAACTAAACTTTTTATTTTACAAAATCATATATCATTATAAGTCAATTCAAAATTAGTTATTGTATAACTAGTTAAATGATTATTCAATTTACCAATTAAATTACAAATAATAGTTTTTCTAAATTTTGAATATTTATGAAACTTTTCAATATTATCTGTAATATAAATTATTAAACATTTAATACATTCAAAAACATTAACAACATTAATATTACTATTCTTGTAAATATTATTCATTTTTCTCAATGTAATTTCATAAAACTGAATAGCATTTTTATTATCATAATTAGCAATAAATCTTAAAGTATATGAATATATTCTTTTACAATAGAATTTTAAATCTGATTGTTCAAATAAATCAGCATAATTAATAGAATTATAAAACATGTTAAAATCAATTTTACTATTTCTAAAGTCATTAACAAAATTAATTAATATATCATTTTCGTTATATTCTTCAATAAAATTATTTAATTTCAATTCTTTTACATCAATGAATTTAAGAATATTATTTATAACATCTTGCATTATAAATAATAATAGAAATAATTTTAATTATTATTTTTTCATCATTTCGCGTATCGTTTCCTGTGTTTCCTTATCGCCATTATCGGATGGCGATGCATGTCTCCCCCATTTGATAGCAATATTATGAACATCTGTTTCTAAGTTGATACTGTCTTTAGTTTTATCAATATTCATTTTCTTATCATTTCTACTTATTTTGAAACTGGCTGGAATACACGAACATTTACAGTTTCCTTTCTTTTGTATTTCTAATTCATTTTTCATTTCTAATATTCTTTTACACATTGGACAAGCAAACTCAATAACTGATGTCTCTTTAACAACTTCTTCTTTTTCTTCATCAGTTGAAGAAACAACTGGTTCAGTCTTATTCTTTTTCTTTCTTCCCATTTATATTAATATTTACATTTTTATTTTTGATATATTGTATCACAAACTTAATTATTTCTAAAACAAAATAGCATACTTTCTTGCATCTATTATCAGTTATAACAACTTGTTCTAAATTCTCTACTTCATCTATTATATCAATATAATCTGAATAGCTTCTATTCATATAAAATAATAAATATAAAATATTTTCTAAATAACTTTAATATTATTTTATTATGTCAGATGTTCCAATAATAAAGCCAATAAACATAACTGAATATGAATTCAAACAATCTAAATATGAGCACGTGCCAAAATTACCATTTAGAAGTATTATAGTTGCTTCTTCGACAGGTGGCAAAACAGTATTGGTTCAGAACCTTATCTTAAATGTTTATAGAAATTCATTTGCAAGAATATTTATATTTTCCCCCAGCGTTCATAATGACCCAACTTTTACAGAAGTAAAGAAATATATTAGGGATGAACTACATGTAGATGATGAAAAAGAACAAATTATTTTGATAATTATAATCCAAGTGATTTAGAAAATGTAATCGAAAGACAGAAGAAAATAATTAATTATATGAAATCTAAAAAAATAAAGAAACTACATTCAATATTAATCGTTATAGACGATCATGCCGACGATCCTAAATTTGTTAGATATAGTAAATTATTACATGGATTATTTACAAGAGGTAGGCACGATGCAGTAAGTGTAATTTGTTCAACACAGAAATATAATGTGTTGGCGCCTATCATTCGTTTAAATGCCAGTTCATTATATATTTTTAGGTTGAAAAATGCCAGTGAATTAATGAGTTTTATTGAAGAAAATAGCGCCATTGTTGACAAACAGCAATTATTAGATATGTATCATCAAGCCGTTAATTTTGCTCCATATTCTTTTTTCTACGTGAATATGAATTCAAAAGACATTAACAAAATGTTTCATATCAATTTTGAACAGGCATTTCAAATTACAAATGATGAATAAAGATATTCTATTTAATATAATATAATAATATGCTAATGAAACTATGTAGATGTGGTGGATTTTATCGTAGAGGTAATTACAATTTTCATACTAATTCTTGGATACATAAACTTTATAAAGTGTTAAAAAGACGACCAACAGACGAGGAATTATTAAGATTTCAAAATAACTTTGTTGATGAAGAAGATTTAATAGATGATATGTGTAGCAATGCCTCAACAAAATTACCCGAAATGAAATGACAGATTATGATAGTAATTAATAATATTAATGTATGTTAATATTATCAATTTAGAATAAGGAATAGCTACATAAATTTAAGGCAGGAAATTTATAATATGTTTTATCTTTTTTACATTCATTAACTTTTTCTAATTTATTTATTATTGCTTTCAATGAATTTATTTGTAGAATATCAATTCTTGACATTTCACTTATCGTATTTACATCTATATCTTTTATTACTTTAATAGCCTCTTCATCATCAATTTCTACTGGTTTTGATTTACTTGAACCCATTATATATAATATTATTTAGATTTTAATTTTTCAAAATTATATTTTTGTTTTTCTTCTCCGTCTTCTTCTTCTTCGTCTTCAGTTGGTGCTGGTATTTCTGTTGGACTTTCAGATGAAGAACTATGAACAGTAATAGGTGGAGAACTATGAACACTAATAGCTTCATTTGATGAATTGCTACTGCTACTTTGTGCATGTCCTGCTGTTATCTGATTAACTAAATCTGCAATATTTATTGTTGTTGCAATTGTGCTGTGTGATAAGTTTAATATGATATCTGCTACTGTAGCGCCGTTGTGTAGCATTATTTCTATCATTTTTGTCAGTTTGAACTTCTTTTCTTCTTCATCGCTGTCCCCCTCGTCTGGTGGTTTCTTTGGCGGTGGTTCTGGTGGTTTGTTGTTGTCGAGCATTGTAGTAAAGGCTGACACCATTGCGTCGCGTTGGTTTTTCAGGGTTTGTGTTGCTTGCGTTCTTGTTGGTTCATGTCTTTTGTATGTGTTGTGCCAAAAGTTTTTAAGCATTATTTTAAACATATTATCTTGGTTTTCCTTTACCTTAAACGCTTCAAATGTCATATTTAATTGTTGATTTGCATCATTATATAACTTTTCTTGAGTCTCTCTGGTTTCTGTGGCGATTGTATCTGTATTGGTTGCAATGTCAATAAATTCTCTCGGTATGCCCTTTTTCATCATTTTCGGTGGTTGTGTTGTTGTTGGTGTGTTTGGTTTTGTTAGGTTATGTATTGAAAAACTGTCGTCGTGATCATAATTATCATTGAACTTCTGCTTCTTTCTTTTCAGTATATTTTTAGTTAATATTATCATTATTATTACTATTTATATTTTTATTTCTTACCTTTACCCTTAAAACTTGCCTTGAGTTCTTCTATTCTACCTCTGCTT